GCTGTTACAAACAACCGTTATGTGAACAAAATTAATATACCCTTGTACACAAGTGCGCTCGGGTATAAAAATTATAAGATTCCAATGAATGGTTTCTGAAATATTTCAAAAAGTGTAAAAGCCTGCATAAAAATATGTTTGCAAATAACTCGTCAAAAAAATAAAACTAGCGCAAAATATTTGGTGTCAATATTGCACACCATGTTAGCTTTCAAAATCGGTCAATGAAATATTAAGAATCGAAAAGTCAACTTTGGGTGGCCCACTTAAGAAGTATTTTCGGGCTTTGAATCAAAATTTTCAAAACAGGAATTATTAAATGGTATGTGCTTAATAGAGAAAGTGATATCCATTGTAATTTTGCGTAACTACTAATAATTCTAATACGTGATTTTATTGTTTAATTTCTCGGTAACACTGGACATTGAAGCTATGTACCAAATCTTTGCAAAATGCACTGTTAACTAAAAGTAAAAAACTATTGCCTTACAATTATTTTATAGGGCTCATATGGATTAGTCAAACTAGCATACTCAGAAGAGGACTCCACCCATTACGCTATGAAAATCCTTTCAAAACGTCGACTGATACGGCAAGCTGGCTTATCAAAACGTGGCCAAAATAAACCCATTTCACCACTAGAAAGAGTTTATCGAGAGATTGCAGTCCTAAAAAAAATTGATCATCCAAACGTTGTGAAACTAGTCGAGGTGTTAGACGATCCGATGGAAGACTCGTTATATATGGTTTTCGAGCTGGTAAAGCAAGGGCATGTGCTTAGCATTCCAACAGATGCTCCACTAAATGAGGACAAAGCCTGGTTTGTTTTTCGAGAGACTCTACTTGGTTTGGAATATTGTGAGTACCAGTTACTAATTTGCTAGTAAATTTACGTAATATTTGAATTAAAAAGAAGTCCTGTTTATTCCAGTTTTTAATTTATTGATTAATATATAAAGCTCTGCTCGCATATGGAAGAGAGGGGGTGAGAAGAAAAGGGACGAGTGCCCATGCGTCTGTACCGCCAAGTCGTTTGAACTTTCTTGCTTTGCTTTAGACATTTTCGTTGTTTCCCATTTAAAGAACCAAAAACTTGAATTCAACAGAAAACACAAAAGAGAATGAGCAAGAATTGCTTTCAAGTACTTGAATCATGTAAGTCGGGTGATAGAAAACTGTTAAGGTCCTGCCAGATAGAACATCTAGTTTGCGTCATTAGAGTTATTTTTTGGTTTTTGAATGGACGACTCACAGTGTTGCGAGCTGGGCAAGATAGAAAAAAGTTGATGTTGGATCTTAGAAAAAATTTTGATGGCAATATACATATAGATACCTAGACACAGGGCCGTCGAGTGAAAACTCGGGTCCGGGACTAAAAGATCACGGGCCCCTATACATATATAATGTGTATAAAATTAAAAGCATATATCCCAATTCGCCGAAACCGAAACCGAGGGGAACAATTTTTTTCTCAGCTTGCGCAGATTTTTAATTATATCTGGGTCAAACATATTCTGAGGTATCAGACAGAAATATTGACTCGAATCTCCTTCTCTCAAACATGAAAATTCACTTAGCCCTGAGACACCTTTAAATTAATGAAAATTAAAAAAGCACAACATGAAATTAAGGCTTGTTTATATTGCCCTTGTATTACTTTGAAGTTGATAAAAAAAGTATTCGATAAAATAATCAGTGATTAACTTTCTTAATGAAAATAAGGTCGACATCATTTTTTAATGTAATGCCCAAAATATCCAAAAGTTTTTTGACGCGGAGTTCACCAGGCTAAAAAAAAATTCTGACCCGGATATTATTCAAATATTATAATTTTTGTTTTTAATATTCACTCATTTGTTTAATGAACAAATTACATAATCTAATCGAAAGCATAATGTCTATAATAAAAAAAATAGATTGGCGCTTACACATATGTTAGTGCCTTGATGTTGTCACATAAAGCGGAACGACCTACAGTTTTACGCCGACTCCGAATGGCGATTGTATTTTTATGAGAAGCTGTTTTTCATGGCAGAAATACACTCGTAGGTTTGCCATTGCCTGCCGGGGGGTGACCGCTGTTAAGAAAAA